TTAATTATTGACAGGTACGCGCGTGTAGTGGTACAGATAACTTGGGCCGTGGTTACGTTTGCCCGCCATACCGAATTTCCTAATTGGATTCCAAACCAGCAGATGTCCGTCCTACGTAATTACAATGATCTCGGGCAAGATACGTTATTGCGCGACCAACTAACACGTAGAACGGAGACGGAAAGCGAAACGAATCGACGTCAATTTTTAAATCGTTTTTCGGACAAGGTCGTTCGACGTAGTGGTTGTGTTGTATTTGCATTTTTATTTCTCGTCACTCGCTCCGCCATTGCTTTGGCCAAAATAGAAGAGATAGAAGGCGGCAAACGTGTGTCTGTAATCCATTGTTGCCAAGTTGTACTTGTCCTCTCTCTCTTTCTCTCCCACTCATGTATGGTCTGTCTCAATCTTCATCATGTTGGATTTCGACTGACCCTCCCCAATAAAACTTTAACGATTTTATTGCCTATTGTTATTAATAGATTATGTTATAATACGATATTGGACGTTTTGGGTACTTTTATTTGAAAAGAACGAAATTCAAGTTATGTCGTTAGCTTAGCATACGCAAGCAAGAGAGAGAACCACGGTATATTTTTTATGACAGGTAATCACAGAGAATACATAGAAAAACTTATTGGATTCAACACTCTCTAACAGTCTAACAAGTCTGATATCTATATCAACTATAATACACATTACCCAATAACTCATATCGATGAGTTATTGGGTAAAGCCACTAATAAAAAAATTATTCTTACTTGAGTGAAATGGCAGGGATGGGCCAGGTACATTTCTTCCTTTCTCATATATTTCTTGAGTGTTGACCATTTGTGGCAGTGGTGAATAATTGTTTTTATTGTGGGTTTCGAAAAAGTTATTTTACGAGAATATAACAATGTCCGGTCGAAATCATTTATCGCTTGAACTTTAATTAGTAGAGGACTTATGAAATAAGAAGTTTTAAAATAAACCTGTCCACTTAAAAAAACGCCAATAACGCCGCTAAGGAAAAGGGATATTATTAATTATAGGAAAATTGAAGAAAATATATTGTCTTTATCAAACTGAAATTGTTCCTACCTTGGATAAACTGAAACCAATACAAATATAACCCGTGCCGCCCTCCATAGAGTTGTTGGGATTTAAGTATCTCAAAATAGCCAAAAGGCAAGTAGTAATGGAATCATACAGATGAAGCACTTGGAGATTTAATTAACTTCAAGAAATTAAAGGATATAGATTAGGCAACAATTTACCTTGATGAAGCATGGTTTGATAAACGCGACACTGTATCCAAAGGATGATTTCACCCAAAACTTTCAGACGAAAGCACCTTCAAATAAAGGAATTATTAAGGATTCCAGCTTGGATTATCAATAGGACAAAAGTGCCGAACTTTTTGAAAATTGAAAAAAAAAAACATCTTTTCAAAAATATTCCCAATAATGCAAGCTACCACAGCCGTCTGCTACACAAAGCACCAGCCTCATAAGTTCACAAAACGCTGATTCAGGAATATTTTTTAGATAATTATCTTTATTTTGATTTCAGTTAGAAAAAATCACAACTTTTGGAAGTTCTAAATTCAAGTGCAGTGAAAAAACAGTATGTATGCGATAATTTGACTGAACAGGCTGGGCGTAGTGTTCTACGTCTTTCTCCATATCATTTGCATGTTTAACCCCATAGAGCATTTGTGGAACCAAGTAAAATCAAAGGTCAGAACAGAAAATGTTCCTCCTATTTTAAATACCATGGGTATAAATTTTATAAAAGATGTAATTAATAATATACCAATTGAGAGCTGGAAAAAATCGATAAAGCACATTAGAAAAATTGACTTTGATAGTGAATAAAAATGTTATTATGTATAGATGTTCTTAGCTACGAATTTATTGTATATATTTAATGTAAATTAAATGAAATAATCAATTTTTGTTATTATTACTAAAACCTTTGAGGGTGCGTCCCAAATGTTCTATCCTTTACTATTTGCCGGATCTCAGTTTTATTGCCGCCGGCAGGTAACTTTCATAATTGGGGGCAAAAGCCAGCACCATAAAGATTGAGCCAAACTATACACTATTGGACATAAGTATTGCAGCAAATTAAAAAAATCTTAAAATTGTAAATAATTGAAAAATTCATGGAGTTTGTGTTTTGAGCTAGATTAGTCCATGGTAGTTCACCGAAATCTTTCTTTAAGCCGAAGGGTAATAATTTGTTCAAAAGCAGTGGCGACATTTTTTATTAAGGTCGACTGAATAAATATACAAAGAATGAACAATATTTTAGGCACACTAGCAAGGATATCATTTTAAATTATTTACAACATTATCACATGTAGTTGCGTAACTTCTCTAAAACATTAGGTTGTAGATTTCTCCAAATTTCTTCCCATAAGTGTTCTATCGGGTTCTAGTCTGAGGACTGCGCCGGCAACTCTAAAATTCCAACATTGTTCTGTCTGCATGGTCTGTTCATAGATATAAGAAATTGACCAATTGCTTTTGAACGGATTATCCAAGGGCGATCATTAACATACAATGCAACAAGTTTATTATTATTAATTAAATGTAATTATTAATTAATTAATTAATTAATTTATTTATTAATTAATTTATTAATTGATTAATTGAATTGTATTTTAACGACCACCCTTGGATAATGCGTTCAAAAGCAATTGGTCACTTTCTTATATCTATGATTGGAGGTACTTTTACGATCATTGTCCTGCTGGAAAATGAATCGTAGCAGTATTTCCCATTCTACGATGGGACGCGTAACGCCAATAGTTCCAAAAGGGTGCATGTTCCAGTCATATTAGGTGCAGTTAAAATATATGAAAGTCAAACGGCACACAGGCTGAAACAACAAATTTAAAGTCGCACAAGAGAAGTGCCCTTATTTGTCGTTATAGTTTTTAAGAAATAAAATGCATGCATATCAAAACAGAGAGGTCTGTCTACTTCGACGAGAAAGCATTTTTTGCTCGAAAAATATAATTAGTTTCCTTTTTTTTCAATAATTTTAAATACTATCGCAAATTATTGCATCTGGTTTGTAAAATGAACTAAGATTTTTAATTTTTTTATTGAAACACAATATGTATTACACAAGTCTAAATTATTATTGATCGACCGTAATTATAAACCAGTGGATGAAGCAGCACATATCTTCAATGAACGACATCCAGATCCATAAAATCCATGAAATCAATGAACTATTTTTTATCTGTGAATTAGTCAAATTTTGAAAGAGTATTTGAAAATCCCTAAAATTTCTGTGATATCCGCAATTCTCTGAAATCCTTTGGTAAAATTATTTGAAAACCCGTAAAATGTCTGTGAAATCTGACAAATGTGTGATGCCAAATGTGGAATCCTATGGTTGTGTAAAATCTATGAAATATTTATTAACATTTTATATACAATGTTTTCGTTTATTATTATTAATTATGGTGGGTTTTCTGAAAATATTCCCAAACAAGGCGACTTTATTTTGTTTTTTTTTTTATTTTACTGGCACTATAAGTTAGGAACAAGATATTAAAATGCGCATTTCTGCTGCAATAATAGCGATATCCTTGGTTTTAATGTTTTCGCAAAATAGATTTTGTTTCTAGTGATCTAATGTTATGTTTGATTCCACGTTAACCAATTTTGACGAATAGCAGTTGGTAACTGCTTACGTAGTACAATGATTCACGTAACCTAAAAATTATTTTTGAAAATCCGTCAAATATGTAACATATGATTGTGTAAAATCTACTGTCAAACTGTCACCTGCTCAAAGTGTCACACATCGTTTTGAAACTTCCTTTGTATGTGTGTTTCCAATATAAGCATTCGGTCGAATGTGACTCCCATGTAATTTTCTTATTTTGAAAAGCGGTCTTATTGCATGTACTACTGGCGGTTTCTGTGACGACCGGCCTGTTAGGAAATTGATTAACAATCGTTTTAGTTAAGTTAATTGTTATTTCCTCGTTTTGGGTACGAGTTTTCCACAATTTTTATAGTCTCTTGGTTTCTTTCCGACACAGTGCTTCTAAATTTTACTCGTACCACAATACAGCTGATTGGACAGAACTCCGACTTGCGCGCATCCCCTCCCCACCTCTGCCTTTATGGTTATCAGTCCTACAATGCATATTATCGTCCTGTTTCTTAGTCTGTTTTGTATCCTCATCGCTCTCGTAATTGGATTTGATGTCTAGAAAGGTGGCTACAGCTATCTCCTTGTTATCCATTGTCTTGGAAAGCAACTTGTTTAGGTCATCCAGTGCTAGATCTTTGCTGGAAATATGCAATGTCCCTGAGGTCCACTAGTCTTTCTAGGGTTTTCAGCAAAAAACAAGTGTTATAAATGGTATATGATTTTGGGATGCGGTCCGAAATTTTGCCTACTTTTGGCAGGTATAGAACCCTTACCTGTTGCCATAAATTAGGTACAGCGCCCCACGCTAGACATCCATAATATATATTGCATAGGTGAGGCAACATAGGTTCCTGTTCTTTTTGCCATAATGTAGGGTATATTTCTTCCACACCTGGTGATTTATATGCTTGAAATTAGTTGGTTCCTCGATTAAGTTCAGGAGAGTGTGGATAGTTCCTCGGGCTCAATGAATTGAGCTTCTTCGGCTGCGCTCTAGTAGATCGCATTTGGTTAAGGGATGAATTGGAGTTTCCTCCACTTCGAAACACAGCCTGCATGTACTGTAGTTTGCATCCCCATGATGTGGACTCTCAAGTCAACTTTTATTTATTTTTTTTCTAAAATCGGTCCATTTCAAAGCAACAACGGTGCAATGCCGCTTCGCCGCTCGTCCATTTTAGACGCTTACGTGTTAAACGGTGGGCGTTCGCAACACATAAAAATATAAAAAGATCCGAGTCCATCGCGGAATGTGCATCGCCGCGGACGAATTGATCGATTAGCATAAAAAAATAACGCCAAGGCCTCGGCGAGACGCAATTTTACGTAAATTGGTTCTTTTCTTTTTTGTAGGCGTAGGAAGGCGATACTCCGAGCAAGGCGCTCTCGCACACACACTCACACTCGAGCACACACAAAGAGCGGAGAGAATGAAAACTACGCGACAGTAGTCGGTGTAACTAAATCGATCTCGAAACGATAATATAACGAGCTTAACTATATCGAGTTACCGTCCGGCTCGTTTATAAAAATATTGCGACATATATTTTTTTCAAACGCGCGCGAGTAACGGCGCGAAGTGTTACGACGGGGGTCGATAAGATTTCGCACCATCGAGGATGATGCCCAGAAATTCTTCGCCGATTATCGAGAAGGAGATAGTTTGTACCTACAAGGTAAATGTCTAATCCGAATGATACTAAGGACTAAGCAAAATTAACTATAGTCTAAGTCATCTTCACTAATTACGGATTACTAAAACAAAGCTTCATGTAACAAATTTTATTAACGAATAAACACAAAATATAAATATTTATATTGCAAATATTTCGTAGTTTCTAATATTTTTATGTATTGGAAAACTGATAAATAGGGTTTTATAAGCCCTTGCCACAGACGACATCCACAACTATTGGTACAAGCAATTCAAGGGTAAATATGAACATTTGGTGAGATGCATTACTTACCTGTTGGTCAAACCGGACCTAACTTCCCTTTTCCCGACCAATACCCCATAGGGAGCCTTAATGACCCAGATAAATACCGCCCCATTATATGTTTCCTAAACATCTACGAACTACTTATCTCTGTCGTAACAGAGAAAATTTATGACGACCTAAACACTCTTGAGCAGCAAAATGGCCTCAAGGTGTCAAAGGGCTAAAAAGAGCAGCTTATTTTAGATGCCGTTATAACTTCGCACGCGAAACGTACAAGAGCATCTCTGCACTCCGCCTGTATACGCTTAAGATTTACAGTATAGATGAGCACATAGCAGGTTTTCTTAGGTTTGCAATGTCTCACTGGAAAACTCAGGACGCCCAGTGGCTCTCAGAGAGTCGGGGAGGTCATCATTAGGTGGGGTATATTACAATCCCTGAGTCCCTTATGGTTGTGTCTATCGCTGCCCCCTCTAACGTCTTTGCTGAATGGACAAAATAAAGGCTACTCACCTCCGAATTCTGAATAAGACCTTTGGAAAATCAGCAACCCAAGTACAAAGCCTTTTGTCTTGTGTCGGTCGCACGTAGCACTGACATTAACATGAAGTTTGGACTCGATAAATGCAGGCCTAACCGAACGGAAAGAGGACGCTGGGCCACTCATGAGGGCGCGCGAACAGTACATGTGTTTGGGCTACCTGCAGGACAGGTTTATGAACCATAAAAGAGCCAAAGAACAACAGACAAAATCATATATTCAAATGCTTCGCTCCATACTACTGTCAAAACTGTCTGGCGGAAACTCAGCACGTGCCATCAACGCCTATGTAACACCGGTTTCTGCATACTGCTTCCAAGTGATCGCTTGGAGCGCAACAGAACTTAACGACCTAAACACCAAAACCACAAAGGAGTTTCGGAAGTCCGATTTTATCTCCCCGCAGGCTTGGTAGCCGCGACAGATGGAGTTGGAAATATTTCAATGATAAAACTCAGAATAACGAACTACATTGAGCGGTTTCAAGGGCAGACATAAAGGCGACACTTCTAAGACATGCAGACTCGGATTTCAATCCGCTGATGAATATAAAGCGATGGATCAGCAGTTGAACAGTGGAGAAGTAAGCATTGCAAATACTTGGCATAGAATCAGACGAGGTTGATAAAGAGGTGTATACTGCTTATCTGGATCTGGCCGTTCTATTCTCCGACACACAAGGATTTCTAATCAGAACCAAGTGATCGCCACAAAAATATATAAATGGACAATATATAAAAGGAAATATCGACGGATATTCTGTGCTGTGGAAGATCATCCTCCAAAAAGTACGCCAACTCCACATGCGAGTAGCCATACCACCAGTATGACCCACCGTCCGTCTGTGAAGATTAAAATGCCTACGTGTATTGGAACAGAAAAATAATCGCAGACCAGCGTTACCAATACAGGAAAAATCTTCATTGTTGATTTTGCAAACGTAAACAAGACTACCAAAAACCCTAAAAAGGGACCTACAGCAGCTGGGACTGGAATGGGGCCTACACATGACAATTTTCAGGAATCGGTGCTATCAGACACGTGCGTCATGGTTCGTAAGGTTATAAGTGGTTAAACAGCGCACCAACTTGTCTCTTCGGACCGTTGAATAAACGCTTCCCGTTGCCAGAAGATACTCGATAAAAGGGAATAATAATAGTAGGCGTAGTTTTTCATGGGTTTCAATATTAGAAGGAAGAGATAGTCTGGCTGGCCGGAACAGCAGGACCTTGTTCGGAACCGCAATGACGTCTTACCTGCAATCGAATCCAGGCATGGCTGGGAGAGACGCGTAATATGTAAAATTGCGAAAATCAGACAAGACATCAGGATGCTTACTCAGAGTCAGATACCAAACCCTAGCAACAAGGTTACTTGAAAGCAGGTCTTCATGAAAGCTTACAGAACTGAAGTAAAGCCTGAAAAGGTGGAGGTGCTTAAAACAAGAATTGACAGCCATGGCAAAAAAGCTGAACCGTTATCGGCAACAAAATAATCAGTTCACGTCACACCACAAAATCTTCTAGCCCAGGAAATCTGAGGATGGAGGAAACGAAAGCGACCTACCTACCATCGAATATATAGCATTCCAGTTTCTAATCGAAAAACCAAGTAGTTCTATGACGGAAAAAAGCGTATAGCAAACTTACGCACTATGATCGCCTAGACTGACAAAGTGAAGAAAATAATCTCAAAGAGTTTAATGTGGAGGGCAGCCGGACCGGACAAGGTTCAGAGAATTTCTCGCTTAAACAGTTCAATTCCGCCCATACTTACCTGCTCGAACACCCGGATGAAATTACCAACGGGGTAACTTACTGGCAACCCAAAAGGGATAGACTCTCAGAGAACCCGTCTAAACATAGACTCTTCTATATATAATATTCTGACCTTTGTAATATCTGAAAAATTGTACCCCCACCTTGAGTTGAACCACCTGTTGGATGGAAAAAAGGGATGCCGGAAAGGATTCCACGGACTCAAAGAGCAGCTCATATTGGACTCCATTGTTTTGATTGATGCTAAGCGTACAAAAGGCTCGCTTTATTCTGCCTATATCGACTACCAGAAACTAGTCTGCATTCTCGGCTTGAGTTTTATCGAATCGAGAAGCATATAACAAGGTTCCTAAGATGCGAGAAGCGGAAAAAATACAAATGAGACGGGGTGTCGTGCACTTAGCCCACTGTTGTTTTGTTTGGCCTTGAGTTCACTCACTTAATTCGTTAATGATCATGGAAAGTCCAAGCCCAGCCCACAGCCCAACCAACAAATTACACATCTATGGTACATGGACGACTTAAAGATATTTTCCAAAAGAAAGTCACACTTACACGACTTATTAAACTGTATTGGGAATGGTAAATTCAACAGCGACATGCAAATGAAGTTTGGTCTGGAAACTCCAAAGTCAAGGGTTAACATTTTTTTTCTTCTAGCTACTCGATTCACAAGTTATTTTTTTTAAATGCCAAATGCGAAGGAAAGGAGCAGAAAATCGGCTTCGAATATTGAACTGAGGTGGCTTTTACTTGATGAAAATCCATTTATCAAAATAAATAAGAACTAAAAGTTCAGATTTTCACGAAATTATATATTTTTACGTAACAATTGTTTCGACAACACATTTGATAAAGACACACGGTGTTGTCGAAACAATTGTCTTGTAAAAATATATAATTTCGTGAAAATCTGAACTTTTAGTTCTTATTTATTTTGCTTCGAATGTTTTAAAGGAACGAATGTCAATTTGGCATAACCGTACATTTTTCTGCTTTCTGTTTGCATATCTTTTAAAAAATCTATGGTACTTAATGTATGTGCTTGTCAGCCTTATATGATTGATACCCATTAACAAGAACGCTTGCAACATTTAACAAGGATAAAACGATTTTGTAGAAAGGCCGTGATGCGTTAAAGTTAACATTTTTTTGATTTTCCGTGAGACTGGCCTCGTATTTTAATTAAATGCTCCTTATAACCGCAATTTTCATTTCCTTTCATGTCGGATGTAATATAAGTAATTTGGGTTAAAATTGAAAAAAGTGAGTCGCCAAAAGGTATTTGAAATTATTTTATTGTAAAATCTGAGAATCACACTGTTTCAATGGGAAAAGGATACATGCAAGAAAATGCTTGGGGGGTTTCGTAAGAATAACGAAAATTTTATGTATCCCAAATTTTCTGCTCAAACAATTTATTAAAAAGGCAATTTACTCTAGAAACAAATTTTCATAAATAAAGTTATATACCTTATCCCAAAATGCAAACTTTTCAAAAAGCTCCCGGAGTTCAAGAAATGCAGTTTTCCACCAAAAAATTTATTTTACTATTCGAGTGTCGTACACAGTGGGTTGTCTCTGTCTCTCTAAATGCTCGACCTCCATTTCCAAACTTTGCTAAAAGTTCTAGCCCCTGAAAGCTCGATCTCTAAAAGCACCTCTCAAATGTCTAGCTTTATCTCTGAAAGGTCGTTTCAAAGTTCATCAAAAGCTTTTAGCTCTATGTGAAACCCCTTTCTTCTTCGGTCCTCGTCTCCCTCAGAAGACCAGCGATCCAACTGGCCATTATGGTAAAAAGGGTTTTGCTTTTTTCGACAGATCTTTTGCACTCGATTTTTCCTTCGGTGACAAGTCATGAGATATAGCCACGCATCCTATACACTTCAGTTCTCTCTATTTGAAGGTTGTCATAAATTCTTTTTTCTTATCCATTCGTCTGAATATCTCCTCATTCATTATTATCCTGTCTACCCAGGATATGCGCAAGATACGACCATATAAGTACATCTCGAATGCACTGGTCAAGCTCTCGCACCCATAGATCAGGGTTGGAAAGATGTAACAGCGCAGTACACGTATGCGGAGCTGCAGACTGAGGTCTCGATTTACAAAAAGATTCTTCATAAAACTAAATGCTCACCTGTCTTGTTCGATCCTTGGTAGGAGTTCTTTTTCTTGGTCGTTGGTCTCGTTAACTCCGAGCTCCGAGATATTTCAATACTTCAGAGACGAGACCTGTTCAACCAACTCCCTGTTAATTCTAAGGAATGTCTCGGTGTCACCTCAGTCTTGGTAACTTTCATGTGAAGGCCGTACTGCGTGGTATGTCGTTGAAGCCTGTATTGTTAATGGGAATACCGTTTATCTTAATTTCCTCCTTTATATCGACGAGTGCCTCTCTCACACACCCTTTT